ATTTTTCTGTGTACTCAACCTGCCACATTACTTCAATAAAAGCCCTCGATTCAACTGAGCTGTACAAGTCAAGTGATAAGTGAGGTTAATAAAAGCACTTAAAGAAGCATTGAACAGACTGAAGTTTTCCCATAAATGCAGCTCCAGCACAAACATTAAAACCAAAATTAATGGAGAACAAACAGACACACTAGAAACAAAGTGAACTGGAGGGGTTTTCCCTACCAAGAAAATATTCTGTAATTTTGTAGCCACCAGAATTTTGACTGGAATTAGAGATCCTTGTGCTCAGTCATTAATACTGTGATGTGCTTTCATTCAAAACCATAAAGAAGCTAAACTTCTCACCAGTGTTTAAAATCATAGACACAAAAACATTGTGAAGGACACACACACTCTTGCTAGGAACTATATAAATATTCCTCAACCATGATCAATTTCATCATATAAAATTCTGAGGAACCTGATCTACATGGACTTTTATACAAAACACAGGATGAATAAAATAAACAAATAAATACAAGGAAGACATATATGGGTGTGAGTTTGTAGTGTGTAAGTGCAGTGTACGTAGTGTGCACTGTGTGTGTGTGATGGCCACATCATGGTGCTGTGCAAAGCTACAAGATGGCCAACTATCTGGGAGGAGAGAAGGGCGATGGGAGACAGACGAGTGTTAATGCTCGTCTTCTGCCCACATAATAGATCTTATAGAGGAACGTTTAAAACAGTCTTCATATAGATTCTCTTGACATAAGCATCATAATAACATTTCCTTCATTAACAATTTTAAGGTATCAAGAGTAGTGACAAGAACGACAAAGTTCACCAGCTGAGGTTTTCAGTAGCAGCCTCAGATGAGGAGCATCCTGCTTCCTGTTCAGTCACGTCCACAAAAACTCAATTTTCTGTGTTGTTGAATGAGTGTTTGACACCACCAGGACCAGCCTATAACTAGGAGTTTGTCAAAAAAGAAAAAAGAAAAGAAACAATGCCCAAATCACCTCCCCACCCCCATCTCTAGGAATCTGATCTCTCCTTTCCCCACCTCCGTCCCGCTTAACACAGAGTCTCTCATTTGCATTGCAAAAGTTTTCCTCTGCATTTTCAGTGACACTTATGTCCTTAGGATGTAGGGTTGGATCTCTCTCAAAGGCGAGTCTGGGCCTCGGGGACATAGATTTCGATGCTGTCGGCGCTCTCTGTAGCAGAGTTCTGGCGAAACGAGGCAGTCTTCCTAGCAGCCAGGAAGCGCTTGCGAGCCTCCTGTCTCTGCTTCTCTGCCGAGGCCGTAGAAGAGGTGGACGAAGAGTCGGCACTCTTCTCTCGGCCCAGTGACGGTCGTCCTTTACCGGGCTTCTTTGATGCTGGAGGGGTCACCTTTTCCTTGTTCTGTGGTGTTGGAGTAATGAAACATGACAGAAGACAACAGAGGGAGAAGGCAAAGTATAAAGGGAGGAGAAAGGAGAAAAGAGATAAAGGCAGTGAGAGAAGGTAATAAGGAACCTGTCAACAGGTTCTATTTGTTCAGGTAGGTTTGGAAGACAGGACTTTGACAAAGACATCGATCCAAAGCTGACTGTTTTTGTTAAAACCTTTGTAAAAGGTGATAAACGTAAAAACAGTGACAGTATAGTCAACTGGTAGAAAAAAAGCTAACATTGAGAAAAACAGTCACTTGAACAACAAATTTCACAAGACATGAAATAGTAACATGAAATGATGGGCACAGTGGATACACAAAGCACAATAAGACATCAAGACAGTTCATGTGTTAGAACTGCAAAGCAACATAAAGCAAGAGCACTTCAGCCACAACACTGAAAGATCTATAAAGACACACACACACACACGCACACACACGCACACAAAACAGCAAAATTCAAAGACACACACAGCATTTTAACAGCAGGAGCAAAAGCAAGAATGCATCTTAGCCATGCAACACGCACATCAGAAGGTGACACATGCATGCTCAAATCAGGGCTTTACACCTAAAAGAAAAAAAAAACAAAACATTAACAACAACCACCCCGATTGAGATGAATTTTTCCATGCATGCCTAAAGGGATCTCTGTGGCCCCTCAGTATTAAACAGGGAGGCCCTGTTTAGAGTCCATCCCACACAGGGCTGGGGCTGTGGGGGGGGGGGGGAGTGGGGGGAGGAGGGAGGCCGGTTTCGGCGGCTTTCCTACCCCAGCCAGGGCACTGGGCAGCAGGGGTGGGAAGTACCTTCCGCTCAGGGGGCGACTGGACAGCCGCAGACAGCACAAGCTGCCAGTCATTGGACTTGAGATGGTAGAGCTCATCAAACTTGAGACTGATGTCCTCGATAGACAGCTGCAGCAGGTCCCAGAAGCCAGCCAGGTCCTGGGGTGTGGGTCGTGGATTGGCATTCACATTCTGACCAAAAGGACAAAGAAGGGGGAGAAAATAAAGGAATCGTGATTGAAGTGAGGACACGAAGAATGTTTGTTTCACTTTTTTTCACCTCTTTGTACATCAGCACGATCTGTTATGAAAACATAACCACCAAAATGTCATTGTTGTGCATCTTGCTCCCAGAACTTTTTTTTCTTTAAGTGTGACAATTAAAGAAGAAAGACTAAGCAGACCACCTGCATGGAGAGCAGAATATTTACAGTTACTATGTATTTACTGTGTAAGTATGCAACACCCGTGTCACCACACTGTACTGTACTATTACATACAGCACTCATCATCCTGCTGCTCTTTTCATATGCAGCACTAGAGGGCGCCATGCTGCAGCAAATCGTTTGTCAAGCTGAACCTCTGACCAAAATAAAGCTCACATCAGGGATTTATTCTTTTCAATAACATAACCACTGTAGCTGAAGAAGCCAGTATACTGAGCCAGTGGAACGTGGCTCTTGCTGTGTTAACAAAAAGAGCACAACTTGCTCTGTGAAGCTAAGCCGCTCGCTGGCAGGTCTTCATGAACAAACCCCGTCTCCGCTGCCTGTTGTGCAAAAAAAAGGAGCTGTCTGATGCCCTTTCATTTCCTTTATTCATACTATCCTTATCAAAGCACACACTGGAGCACATTAATGTGAAGATGTTTATATCAGAAGATGATCAAGATGTAGCTCTTAAAGTGAGTTTTTGAATACAGGCAGCAAATAGTCTAACTTGTTTTAACAGCATTTCAGTTACTATGGTCTATTGTATTACATATTGAAATTAACTGTAGATGATCTCAGATAAACTTTTGTGCAATATCTGTAAATGTATACAAATCTACACTAACTTTTAGCCTTCACAGTTTTTCAACTGCTAGAGACCAAAATGATCAGGCCATTACTGGGTCAAACAACTTTCCTCATACTACCATCTTAATCACTAGCTAGGCTGTGGGAGGATAACTAACACCAAGTAGCAGGAAAGCTAAAAAAAATTAAAATAGTGCAAAAAATGTATGACATCATTTCCTTTTCCATCCATTCATTTTCCTCCGCTTATCCGGGACTGGGTCGCGGGGGCAGCAGTCTAAGCAAAGATGCCCAGACTTCCCTTTCTCCAAACACTTCCTCCAGCTCCTCCGGGGGAATGCCAAGGCGTTCCCAGGCCAGCTGAGAGACATAGACACTCCAGCGGGTCCT